ATTGTGATCAATGTAAATAAATAAATACATGAGACATGTTCCTGATATGGTTTGACTGCAGGACTGTGATTGAGCTGGTCACTTCTGCAAAATGAAGTGAATAAAAATTCAGAACGATTTAGTAATCATGCTAGTGAGTAACTCTAATTTATAAAGTTAAGTTTATGGGTGGGTGAAAGTGGAAGAGAACCTGCACTTCTAGACTAATCACGTGCTTTCTGCTTTCTCTGAGGCCGATAATAAATGCAAAAAGAATTAAACAAAGAACTGCGGATGTTGGAAATCAGAAACACAACCAGAAATTGCTGGAAAATCTCAGCAGGTCTGGCAGCATCTGTGAGAGAAATCAGAGATAACGTTTCGGCTTCTTCCGAATTGTAATAATTGTACAATTTGGAGACAAACTCTCTATCATGACTTCCAGTATATGTACCAATTATTATCCATTGATATTTGAATAGAAAGTTTATCAGGCTGAGTCTGCTTTTGACAAGAAAGCCTTTGTTTTATAAACACGCATGTGTTATCATAACAGGAATAGAAGACGAGCTTTCCGAACAGGAGTAGGCCATTCAGCCCCTTCAACCTCCCTCCCCCGGCATTCAATTAAATTGTGGTTGATTTGCACTTCTGCGTTATCCAGCTTTGATACATATTCCCCTCGCTTGACCAAACTTTAGCTCAGCCTTGAAAGCTCCAGGTGTCCTAATATCCAAAACATTAGCGGTGGAGAGTTCCAATTTTCTATCATCCTCTGTGTGAAATTGTGCTTCCTTATTTTGTTTCAGAATAACGCAGACTAATTGCGTTTGGACTAGATAGTGTCCACTAATTCTTGATTTCCCACCTGGAAAATTCGTGTAAAAGTATATTGCCCTCTCCATTTTAACGTCATAATTATCTGGATCAGATTAGCCCTTAATCTTCTGGACGTGATTACAAACCAGAAAACAAAACACTACGGGTGCTGGAAACTTACATAAAAACAGAAGATGCTGGAGAAACTCAGCAGCATTTGCGGAGAAAGAGGCAGAGAAGGTCACTTGACCCGGACCTTGAATCGGAAGCTGGGAGACTGAGCATAATGAGATAGAAACAAACAGAAAACAGAGATGATGTTTCGAATCCAGAGACTCTTCTTCAGAACTTGTTCTCTCTCTGCAGATGCTGCCAGAGCTGCTCAATTTCTCCAGCATTTTCTGTTTTTAATGGGAGTTTCCAGCATCCGCAGTATTTTGTTTTATTTTTAAAGATATGGAGGCTACGTTTCTGGTGTTTTTCCTTGCAATATAACCATCTAATAATCCACTCTCGATTTTCTTGCTGTAAACGATCAGTTCAGACTTGAACTGATTTGTGGAAACGTTAAGAATGGGTCAAGCCTGGACAAACACCTTTTAAAAGTATCTGGGTGTTCCTATTCAGTTTGTCAGCAGCCAGGAGACTCTAGGGTCTCCTGTAATGTGGAAAGTATTAATTTAGCAGTGTGGCTATATAACTCAGAATGATTGAAAGTGAAGCTGGAGGGTATTCCACGTTTGAGATTTCCTATGGATGAGGTGCATAAGTAAACTTTCTTTGCATCAAACACTTAATGCCTGCTGTTGTTCTCCATTCGATAAAATATTTTATTTTGAACTGATTATTTTCCATCTACTTGCGCTCCATTCTAAACCTGTAGGGGATTACTGAACAGCCATGATGTTAATATATGTACAATCTTTATAAATGAAGTTACATTATTAATATTTGTGTATGATAATTGTGGGATTATTCGAAACATGAACACATACAGGATAACCCAGGTAAATATTGTCCGGGTTTAGATTTATCTGTCGTTTCTTTGCACATTTCTTACTTTAATTTCTCCTCAGTTCTGATTCTATTTCTGAACATTAACTCAAAACAAGGGACTGAGGACTGTTCATGGTTCAGTCTCTGAGTGAGTTGATCACAACTACGCTACAGTTGATGTACTCAGTACTAGCGCTCCGACCTCCTTGGTGAGCGATTGGAGAAATCGAGAAAATTATTTCTGAATCATATTTTGACATGAACACAAACGAGAACTGGAAGATTTGTTTAAAAAGCTATTTATTAGACAGGAAAAGAAATCTAGGCTATCACGCTAAATAAATAGTTTAGTCACATAAATCCATCGTGCCTTTGTAAAATATGAAATACATACAATACTATTTACAGATTACAGTACTATTCTTCCACAGTAAACTGCACGGCTGAGGTCGGATATGTTTCATTTGATCACAATAAAAATATTGTTATCATCAAGTTTTCAAACTTCAGTTATCTCCCCTATTATCCCGTATTAATGACATATTTGTATCACTCCTATGTGCATGCAGTGAATAATCTGACTTTACCACAAGTTCCACCTAAACTAAAACTCTATTCTGTAAATATAAACTAACTGCCACATTGATTTCCAGTCGTTTCCTTCACCTACATGTAGTCGATTCTGGTGATTTTGTTTGATTTTGATTAACGTTGATGCAATGCTGCATGGAAACAGAGGTGACCTCAATGTGAGGAGCTGGGAACATGGTCAAAATTCAGAGCTGAGCCCTCTGTCTGACGGTTCAAAGACCTGCAAGGGAGCCAGTGACTCTTCGTTCAAAGCTACCAGCAACTTCAGTCTCTGCACACAGTCCTCCAGCAAACAGGGCGGGTAACCGCTGAGCTCCAAGCTGGGACCTTCCCCGGGATGTAACATCCGATCGGCCAAGATGAGGGCAGAAATGGCCAGCAGGGAGGGCGGGTATCCATTGAAAGAGTAGTCGGCGAAGCTGAGCTCGATAAGGCGCCTGGCCAGGCATTCAGAGCTGGCAGCCTGGCTGCGCGGGTGGTGATGCTCTATCCTGGTGATGGTGAAATGCTCTAAGAAGAAGTCCACACTCGGCGTGAGCAGCTCGAAGTTGAGTTTGATGAGAATGATACACTCCAGGTTCCGGAGCTGGTCCCCGGTAAAGGCGTCACAGCAGAGAGAAAGGAGCTGTTTAATTCTGGGAGGGTAAACTTCAACCTGGAGAGATGGGTGTTGGAGGAAAAATAAGCAAAATGTTGAGTTAGTTCCCACAACAGTTAGTCCCAGTTCACAAATTGAGCGCGCACTTTGGTAACTTACTGAGGGAATGCTGTATTGTTATTCTTTTAACCAGATGCCCAATTGGTCTGTTTAAGGTGGATGTAAAATGGCACTTTCCAAAGCAGACCGCGGTTCCTCTAGCTTCTTGTTTCTATCAACGATCATTGCAAAATCTCATTCATCTTGTTTACAATCCAGTGTTTTATGACCCAAACTGGCGGCTGTGTTGATTTACAAAACAGCACTAGAACATGGGTGAAGAGGCACGCTTGGTGCCTGAACACCAGTTGGGAGAGCCCAGGTGTAGCAAAGAGCTACAACGTTGCAGTTCCAGCTATCTGGGCTACACTCACTGCGCACGCAGCTTCTTGTAGAAGGCTCCCCTACATTTCAGCTACAGCTATGAATGTAACCAATAGCACACGTCGCAAGCTGTGCGTTTCTGGGAGCTAATTTACAAAAATACTCTACCCAACAGAAACACAGACCCCACCTTCGCCCCTGAGGTCAGGACACCGCGGGTGCTCTTTCTCTGGGTTTGCACATAAAAACGATGGCTTCTGACTCAGGGAAATGTGCCCTACTATTAGCCAGTATTTTCAGGAGAGGAATCGGAGGAAATTAGTCCAGTAATTTCTGGGAAAGCTTTAGTCTCGGACGTAAATAATAATTAAATATCGTAAGAATTGATACATTAATATAATTTATGACCAATATTTCGTTGATTTTAAAATACTTTGAAAAAGTACATGCTTCTTCCATTCTGATGAAGCGGTCTTGCTGTTGTAAAAGGGGGTTCAGGACCGGGCGAGACTGAAAGACCAATCACTCACTTGTTTGCACGCGAGGAGAAGCGATGTTACTCCGACAAGCTGGAAACAATCTGAAGCCACGGGGGTCGTTTGAAGGAAACGGTCCATAATGTTCACAGTGAGGCACATCGATTCGAAGGAGAAGTTAAAGTGTCTGTGAACCGCAATCAGCCAGCTAACCAGTTTACATCTGTCTTCTGCAGTTATCTGTGAAGGAGACAGTAAACATGCAGAAAGATGCGGCCAGGTTGTCCTTAGACAGATATTCAGTATCATGCAGCGGTGCGCATTTCATCTGCTCGGCTCAAGATGGGAGCAATGTGCGTGAATGAATCGGGAATTTTATTAACGGATGTGTTGGGACAGGAGAGAGGTGTTGGGTACAAGATTTAACACTATCAGAGAAAGTGTGTCAAAGTGCCTGTGTCAGTTGTATATTCCGTTTAATTTAGTGCAAGTGAGTCAATTTCTTTAAAATAAAGTTTAAAATAAAGTAAATATTCTTGATAGGAGCAGCAATTATATAAAAACGGAAAGAATTGCTGATGCTGTAAATCAGAATCAAACAGAAATTGCTGGAAAAGCTCAGCAGGTCTGGCCGCATCTGTGAGGAGAAATCAGACGACACCAGGTTACAGTCCAACAGGTTCGTTTGAAAACACAGGCTTTCGGAGCCTCGGTCCTTCTTCTAAGGCTCCGAAAGCCTGTGTTTTCAAATAAACCTGTTGGACTATAACCTGGTGTCGTCTCATTTCTGACTTTGACCACCCCAGTCCAACATCGGCACCTCCACATTAAGAGAAATCAGAGTTAATGTTTCGGGGCCGGGTTCTGAGAAAGGGTCACCGGACCCGAAACGCTAACTCTGATTTCTCTGCACAGATGCTGCCAGATCTGCTGAGCTTTTCCAGCAACTTCTCGTTTTGTTGCAGAAATTATAAATTGTGCAGTTCTGCTTTAAGAGCTTGGCTTTAAGAACTATGGAAACACTGGCGTCGAACTATTGCTAGTTACCTGGGGCTGACGTGCCAGGCAGTTCCGAGGATGAAATTTCTTCTCAGATTCCCGATTAACATGGTAGCATTTCTGTCCGTATTCCCTAAGAAACTGTAAATCGAGGTGAGCTGTCAGCCGGGGAGGGGAGTAGCTGGTTGGAAGGGCGGGACTGTTAGTGTCCGCATCCGCAGGGCGGGAACAAAGTGACGGCTCCAGCACACAGCGGCCGCTCGACCCCGAGCTCCAGTTTCGGTACCTCGGGCACTTGAGTCTTTTCAGCGGCGCTCGGATGCCCGCGCTGTCTGGGACGCTCTCAGCCCTGTCTTCGGGAGTAACATCCTCGTTGACGGCGGCGGCCCAGCGTTTTCTTTTGCCGGGGCTCGGCGCCGCTTGCAGCGGAGCTTCTTCGCGCGTCGCGTTTGCAACCATAGCTGCAGAGCTGAGGGACTGAGCAGCACAGCCTTCATTCTGAACCGGGCCTGGCGTTACCGCCGGCTGCAGCCTCGCCTTCTTGGCCCATCCTCCTGGAATTTCGCCACGACTTTTCCTACGTTGTCCTGGCGCTGCAGGGTGCCGCTTTTCCCGGTTAAATGACCGCCCATCGTTCTCTCCCTCCCCCTCTCCCTGTCTTGTGGCCCGGTGGGGGGAGGGGATAAGACTCGGGGCTTGCAATACCCACGGCACACGCCCACCTGTTGCTTGGCAACCGGCTGTGTGGTCGACATCCGCCGCCTTGATCTGCCCAGCAACAAAGTTCCCGCTTGCTCCCAATTGGACGGTCGGAATTCCAACTGTTTTTGTTATTATCAAAACAGCAGGTTTAAAGACCTGCACTTAGTTTAACAAACGAAGAAATTGTTAGTCGCTGAATTCCAGGTACGATAACCGGATAAGGTACGATAACTGTACATATTTATAAACAAAAGATAACGGGGTTCTAACCGCCTGTAAAGTATGCATTGTCCGTTTGGCCGAATCTATTGAAAGCTGTGTTCTGTTGTATTTGTCCTGCCCCTTTCCAACAATACCAGATGAAGTACTCACCATGCAACCAATACTGAATGAATACGGAAGAACATGACTCTAATAAAGTCAAATCAAATCGAAGTCAATTGTAACAGAAATAAATTTCCAACTGAAGAGACATACAGTGATTCTTCCATACACACACTAACTGTTTTACAGTGATACAGTTATACAAATACCATGTGTTCAATTTACACTGGCCACGATGATCAAAAAATTATCAATCAACTACGGGCTTGTCAGGGGGAACTTGTAGTGAAAACCAGCGTTTAAAAATGGTGTGAAACTTTGAAGCTAGATTTTCTTTGGCGTTTGACAATTCTTATGTCTTAAATGACCTGGCAGAAATAAAGGTACCAGGGTCATGACAGTCAAGCAATATTTTCAACGCGAAGACAATACCTTCGACTTTGAATCGTGTTAACCTAACAGAGGTGGAATATTTTTGACTTTCCAATGTACCTGCTCAGTTAACTATAAAGCAGTAACTCAGTAGGCGGCAATCCACGCTTACATTTTCGAAAGCACCCTTCAAACTAAGTTATTTATTATTTGATATTAATATGAGGATATTTGCATTCAGGAAACTGTTAAACGGACGTAGAAGGTTTAGTTTTCATGATATTTAGTATTTATTGCTGAATTCCAGGTACGACAACAAGAATGACACACACTACCTCTCTACATATTTATAAACAAAATACAATGAGGTTCTAACCGCCTCTAAAGTATGCATTGTCCGTTTAGCGAATCTATTGAAATCTCTGTTCTAATGTGTTGACAGTTTCCATCCTGCCATTTTCCGATGTAGGGAATAAAAAGGGAGCGAGAATTGCCGCGCTGTACTTGGGGAGGGATGCTCCCCTGGGGAGTGATATCAGACGCCAGTCACAGTCTCTCTGTAAACACAGCCACGGCTGCAATCCGAGCCGAGACCCATTACAAACAAACACACCAGGGCCTTAGCAGCAGCAGAGAGCTAACTACATACACTACACCATTAGCGCCTCACCGAGTTTATGGGATTAGCAGAAAGACAACAGGCACAAGCTGTTCCCTCACTGAGACAGAAATGGTCGAACGAGTTATTCCACCTTAATTGAAACTACAATTCTTAGTTTCCTGTAACTGATCCAAATTGCTAATTGGAGCGTTGACACAGTCCTTATCAATTGGTTTCAAATAAGATATCATTAATTCACATCTTGACGTGGTACGAAAAAGACTGAAAGTTTAGACCTATCCACTTAAATGCCCTTTGTTTCATAATCCTTACTTTAAATCCAAAAAAAAGTGTCATGTGTGGGTAATTTCGACTCATCGATAAAAAATATTGAATCTTCAAGAATTAAACAAAAACGAAAAAACCGAGGATGCTGGAAATGAGGAACAAAACAGAAATTCCTGGGGGAAAAGAATTCAGCAGGTCGAGCAGCATCTGTGGAGAGAAATCAAAGTTGACGTTTCCGGTCGAGTGACCCTTCCTCAGAACACATGAATCTTCAAGCGTAGCTTCCTTCAAATAGTTAAAACCACCCTTTCTTAAATTTGCAATTACAAGAGTAGCCTTTGCCGAATAATTGAAATTGGGGGAGATAAAAGCCTGTAATTGACAATATTCTTGGAATATATATAAAAAGCGAGTTAAAGTTGTTGTAGTTTACCAGACCTTAGGGCTATTTTCTCATTGGAGACATTGGCGGTGTAGTAACCTGAGGGTACCACGCTTCTGGCGGTCAAAGGAAGAGCTTGAGTACTCATCTAAGGAATTATTTGGGCTTGGTGCCTACCTAGATGCTGACAGCATCCCTGCCTTGCCTTGTCTTTTTGTGCTTTTTCTCCCCAGCACGGCTCTACACCCTTGTGCAGACACAAAGCCAGGCAGCTTGTCCTACTGGTCATCAATCAAGGATGGAACATGTGTTGTATGGAACATTTTTGCTTCAATCTCACACTACACCAAGTCACAGCAGTTTACACAGCAAACAAACCGCACACACTGCATGCAAACAGACATGTCTCAAAGCCTGGGTTCTCGGTGAAGTCCAAGAACACACCCATCTGTCAAGGGATCCTTACAGTAAGTCAGGGGAAGTTTCCAATATCAGTTCAGGTTTTGGACATGACCTTTGCCCACCCTTGGTGTTCGGGGTCAGGGAGGATTTGTTAGGAGTTGAATATTGACCAGTCCACCATCTATCTTGCCTCATCCTGCCTATTGTGGCGAGCTGTTTTCTTCAGGACTGAGATAAAGGGAGGGATTGAACGAGATAAAAGTTGGTGGGGTAAAGTCTCTGGACATCCATTGTATTTAATACCACAGAATTGAGAAAGTAACCCAACTTATTTTGGCGCAAAATAGATAATGACATACTTACACTGAACTCCATCTGCCATCGTTTCGCCTATTCACTTTTTTTTTTATTTATTCACGAGATGAGGGTGTTATTGACGAGGCCAGCATTTATTGCCCACCCCTAATTTCCCACAGGTCAGTTACGAAGCTAGATTGGAGCCCACACTGTAAAGTACTCATTGTTAGGTTTCCATTTTGGCCTAACCAAATTGCACCCATTAACATGCGAGCCTGTTGGAATTATATTAACAAATATTTATGGCATAGCAATGAATGCAAAAGCTGATCTGCCTGAAACATTGAGAACTTTTATTATAAAGCCCACCACGAGGAAACTGAAATTCTGCCACCTGCTTACTTAAGTGAGCCCTACTGCTCATCTAAAATCTTGGGCCAAGCCTGGAACATTCTGCCCATTTTCCCAATACCTGATTTTAGGTTAACTAGCCTTTCATTTCCTCCTTTCAGTCTCCGTCCCTTCCTGAATATTACTGTTCCTTTATGCTTTTCCAGTACATTGGGACCTTTTTAGTCTTTGAAAATTCCCAAGATTCAAAATTAATGTTGCTACTTCCCTGAAGATTCTAGTAAGCAGGCCCTCAGGTCCAGGGAGCTCACCAGCTTTTAGTTACATCAGTATTGACAGTAGTTCTTTTTCTCCCCCGTGAAACTGATCATTTTTAAATTCCTCAAATCGTAACACACCCCAGCAACATTTCGGGCACAGAACAACTGCTGAATGATGTGCCCCCTTTTTTCACCACCTTTTCACAAAAGCCGATAAAAACAACCTTCTTATTCTGATGCACCTGCCCTTATTCAACAATGCGTCCCTTAAGATTCTTGATAGGTGGAACAGGGAATCTCATGGCCCCCTAACTGAGCTCCATAACATGGGGACCAAATCAAGGATCAAATCAACATAACGTGTGCTCTATTGAAAACAGATCCCTCAAGTGTGCGTGGGGGAGGGGGAGGAATGGGGAAGGGTGGTAATCCATAATACCCAAGCCCACATGGCTCAATCACATTCATGCATTTCTGTACCTGCTATGAATTCATGAATCTTGCTACAATTACTATGTGATCAGGTATACAGTCATAGTGTGTTTCCTATTTGGACTGGAGTTTACCAAATATCAAATCTCAATCCTGGGGAGTTCCATAGCAGCACGTCTTAGATAAGCTGGTGTGCAGTGGAGAAACGTATGTAAAAGAGCTGAACAATAGAAGTGAACGTGATTGTCATTGACAGCAAGGTCACATTTGACCGTGTGTGACATCAAGAAACCCGAGCTAAACTAGAGTCAATGGGGAAGAAAATCAAAGAACTATGGCTGCTGGAAGTCTGAAAGATAAACCGAAATCTGGAGGGAAAGCAGGGTTAACGACACTGTTTCAGATGCTGCCAGACCTGCTGAGCTTCTCCAACAATTTACGCTTTTGTTTAGAGTCGATGGGAATCAGGGGAAAACTCTGCATTGTTGGAGTTAAACACTGCACAAAGCAAGACAGACATGGTTGTCAGAGGGAAGTATCTCAATTCCATGACACTGTAGTGACTGTGATCTATCCACATTCAGCTGCTTCATTAATCACCTTCCTTCCATCGCAACGTCAGAAGTGGAGATTTTTGCTGAATTGCTCTATGCTCAGGATGATTCGAAATTCTTCAGATATTGACCATAGGCAGCAAGATCAGGACAACAGGCAGGCTTGGGCTGACAAGTGACAAGTGACAAGTGACAAGTAACAAGTAACAAGTAACATTTGTACCACATAAATGGCAGGAAATGACCATCTTCAACGAGAGAATCTAATCGTCACTCTCTTTGATATGCAATAGCATTACTACTGCTGAATGCCTCACTATCGAAATCTTGTGGGATATCATTGACCAGAAACCAACTGGACTAACCAAATAAATACTGTGCTACAGCAACAGGTTAGAGACTGGGAATTGTGCAGGAAGTAACTCACTTGCTGAGTACCCAAAGCCTATCCACCATCTGTAAGGCACAAGTCAGGAGTGGGATGGATAACTCCTCACGTGCCAGGATGAGCACAGATCCAACAACACTTAAGCAGCTTGGCAGGAGAAAGCAACTCAATTGATTGTCACCACACCCTCTCCACCACCAATGCCCAGTAGCATCAGTGTATGCCATCCACAAGACACACTATAGAAAT